GCGCACGGCCACGGCTGGTGGAAGCTGACCTTCCTGCGGAAGCGCCGTTCGGCGTCCACGGTGCTGTACGAGAGCCCCGATAACCACGCTGCCGCCGGCGGCGAGAGCCAAGAGGGACCGGGCGAGGAGGGGCCGCCTGGCTTCACCGCCCGCCTGGAGAAGATCGTGGACAAGAGCACCAAGGGCAAACACGTCAAGGTCTCCAACTCGGGACGCTTCAAGGAGAAGAAGAAAGTGAGGGCGACGCTGGCTGACAACCCCAACCTCTGCGCCGCCAGCGAGCGGGAGGAGAAATGACCCGGATGGTTGTCACCCTCTGGCCACCACCACCGGCTGCCCGGGCTGGCTCGGCTCCATCCCTCCCAGGGACGCCGGACCGCCGGACTTCGGAAGGAGGAATGACTCAGACTGGAGTTTATTTAAGGGAGAAGGAAGGACCCTGTTTAATCGCAGCCCCCTGGGCTCATGGCACCCCAGGGGCAGAAGAACCAGGGAGCGGAGCCAGGTGCCCGTCCCTCCCAGCCCCCCCCGAGGCTGACTGGTTCATACTGGGCTGAAAACGCTCACCCCAGTTCGGTTGCTTGCTGTGGACCACCGGAGCCCATCGTTCACCCAGCTCTGCCCTGAGCACGACGGCCCCGATCCCAATCCCCTCCTGCCCATCACTCCTGCGGGGGCGAGATGGGGGGGGGGACCCCCCTAAAAACCCCCAATGGGCGGCGTGCCGGTGGGCAGACCCACCGATGCTGCGTCCTTGCCAGCAATCACCCCCAAACCAGGGGACATGATGCTTCCCAGCCCCAAGGGAATGACCCCACGGGCAAAGTCCCCCCCTGAGCTGCCTCCATGGGGACCATGGTGGGGTTTGGGGCTTCCCGGGAGGAGCCGTATTCCCGCTGGCATCCAGGAATCGCTCCCTGCTCCCGGAAGGGGAGAGCCGACCATGGGGACAGCCGATCTCGCAGCCTCGGTGTTCATTCGGGTTGTTGGAAGCTAAGCCTTTAGACAGCTTTCGTGCCTGCTGGTAATTAACTGTTGTTAATAAACCAGGTCCGGAAGCAAAACCAACTCGGGGAGGGGCGGCAGGGGAAGATCTCGGCGGACCCCTCCCAGGCCCCATCCCGGAGGGACCGAAGGGCTGTGGGACCCCAGTGCGGAGCGGTGCCGAGGCAGGGAATCCCCCGGAGTAGGGGGGACACACGGGGGTGGCCGTCACCGGCGCTGCCAGCCCGGGGTGCCCTCTCCGCGGCGCAGGGTGCGGCCGTGCCTCGAGTCAACAGGAGCAACAACCACTTCCCCGCGATTACAAAAGCCGGAC